GGGTGGGGGCAGCTGGCCCCAGGCGAGGAGCGGCCGGGTCGCTGACGGGGCTGTGCCTTGGCAGGCCGCAGAGAGCCTTCCCGGACGGCGCGCTCCCTGGAATAACGGTGGCCCAGATTATTGCCCGGGGCTCCTCTTAAACTCACAACTGGAGAGTGCCAGGGCTCCTAGAACCGCTCCAAAGAGAAGGCACTCCGGCCCGAGCTGCGTTCCAGCGGGGGGCCGGGGACTAGATTTAAGGTGCTCCGGTCTCGGGGCGGCTCCTGCCCATTTCACTGGGGAGCTCCCGGGCCCCATCATTTCTTTGGGATCGCGGCAGAAGCTGCTCAGGGCAGGACTCAAGGGGAGGACCAGGTCCTACCGCGCCAGTCAGAGGCTGTGAAGTCCTTTTGGATGCGACGGGGGCTGCTTCGTGTCCTTTCTCCCCAGCCCCGGGGCTCACTGCTGCAGGCAGCCCGGCCCCTCCGTTTTGCACGTGCTTTGTGTTGAAGCCAGGGCGCTGTCCCTCCCAGTGCAGCGTGGCCTCCTGTGCAAAGGGCCAATTTCTTGATTGACGCCCCCCTGCGGTCACCACACCTAGAGGTGAGTCGTTTCCTCGGAGGTTCTCTATTAATCCGCGAAATAGATTTCCGAGCTTTTTCTGTTGGGTTTTAAAATGTTATTATTAAATCTACATCTTTGAACTATTTGTCCAATTGCAGTGGGACCGAAGTAAGAAGACTGGACCGGGAGCCGAACTACCTGGGTTCGAGTTTCACTTCGCACATCTTTGTTGAGCAACTGCGGTGTGCCAGAGCGAGCAAGACGTACAATGCCTGTCCCCACAGAGGCAGGAAACAGATTTAACCAGTGACATACGTGTGCTAGGAAGGAGACGTGCACAACGCGCTGAAACCTTATGACAAGGGGACACCACCTAGTTGGGAGAGGGGTTGGGGGAACTGTAGGGAAGGGAAAAACTTCCCAGGGGACTGAGGTGTAAAAGATAAGTAGGTGTCAACAGGACTAGGGTGAGAGAGGGGCACATTCCAAGTGCAGAGAATAATAGCACGTGAGTGTTGTCAGCTAATAGTCTTGGTCACTTCACCACCCTGAGCTTTTCACATCTAAAGGACTTAGGCATCTTTCAAAATCAAATGACAGACAAGAGCAGCAAGCACAGACAAACCTAGGGAGCATAATATGCTCGACTTAATTTTTTAAAAGCTTGGGGTAAGAATATAACTATCTCTGTGTTTGCCCTTTTATATAATACACAATTAATATTGGCTGTGCAAATAACTTTGGCTGAGGACAGGGATGAGGCTGGATAGAGAATATGTATCTTGTGAATATTTTGAGAATTGAACCATGTGCATGTGTGATCCATTTATGGTATAACTGAGCCCTTGAATAAGTGGCTGACTGAAATGTTGAGGGAGGGAAGGTACAGGGTGAACTGAAAAACTATGTTGCCAGAAGGCATGGTGGGGCAGGCTCCCTTGAAGGTGCTTGCAGGGGATTAGCTAAATTTGGGGAGATTGCGCTTCAAAAATACAGTGTAGATGATAACACACTGAATACAACCCCTCATGAGTTCATGGTGATAACTCAAAGTGAGAGAAAGGGGTAGAGGCTGGGAAAATGAAGAATACCAGCTAACAAATGTAGAAAGTTGACACAATCAGAAAATACAACATTTCCTTCAAGACAATCATCCTTGGACACCACAACTGATGGGTTAAATGTCAAAGATGAGGAATCTCACAAGGTCTTATGGTATCACCCCAACTGATTGGACTCTAAGATTTTTAAATAAATAAATAAATATATGACTTGTTCAAGGATAATGAAGGAATGTAAATATGAATAGGTGTTAGATGAGAATATTAAATTAGTGTTGTCACCGGGCATAGTGGTGCATGTCTGTAATCCTAGCACTCAGGAAACTGAGGCAGGAGGATAGTAGCAAGTTCAAGACCAGCCTGGGCTACAAAGTGAGCTCAAGGCCAGCCTGAACTGCACAGCAAGACCCTGTCTCAAAAAGACATAAATAAATAAATAAATAAATAAATAAGTGTTCTCAGGTGTGATGTTGTTATGGTGAGGTATATTGGAAAATGTGTTGCAATTCTTGATAGATATAAATGAAAGTATTTAGGGATGATGGATCATATCTGCAGCTTACTTTCAAATAGTTCAGTGTACACATATATAATACTTATATACATTGATACACATATGTACACATAAAGACATTAAATAAACTATATATATATATATATATATATATATATTTTTTTTTTTTTTTTTGGTATCGGGAATCAAACTCAGGACCTTGCACTTGTCAGGCAGGTGCTTATGCCCCTGAGCTATATCTCCAGCAAGACATTAAATAAACTAAAGCTTCTCTAGGTTTTAAAGTTTTCAACATAAAACCTGGAAGAAAAGTATAATTTTGAATGTTAAAAATGAAAGCACTGCTACATTTTTTGAAAGTTAAAAAGTTGTAAATTATCTGTTAAGTCTGCATATAATTGTAGGTAGCACCCTGCTCCTGGAATCATCAGTGGAGGGTTTTTGGGGGATCATCAGTCTCCATGGATCGGCTCTCACGTCTGCAGACTCCACTAGCCATCATTCTCACTGCATGGCTTGCAGGAGAACTTAGTCTGTTTGGTGCTCCAAGAGCAGATACAGGTTCTAGAGACCAAGAAAGGACAGTTGTTTGAAGTTCAAATGTGTCTTCAAAAGTCATATTTGATCTTCAAAGTTCGGGACCTCAGTGAACTAAGCAAATAACTATTTTTCTCACAAAATGTTTGTCCCTCATTTTGTTTTTCTTCATTTGGACCTTCCACCTAGCAAGTAACTGGGATGGTTACGCCTGTTCATTTACTGCCTTTACAGAAATCACTAACCAGCCTTCACACACCATCTTGAAAAATAGTATGAGTTGGGAGTACTAGTTTATTCTGGGGTTGACGCAGCCACGAGCCAAAAAGACCTAAATCTACAAACACCTGCCTCAAATATTAAAATGCCAGGGAACCAGGCGAGGTGGCACACGCCTGTAATCCCAGCACTCGGGAGGCTGAGGTAGGAGGATCACTGTGAGTTCGAGGCCAGTCTGAAGTACAAAGTGAGCTCAAGGCCAGCCTGAACAGCATAGCAAGACCCTGTCTCAAAAACAAAAACAAAAAAAAGACCAAAAAAAAAAAAGTGCTAGGGAGATGACTATTAATAATCACTAGTACTAGAGAAATGATCTCTAATTATTAAATAATTACTAGTGAAGGAAGCATCATTCCTTTCTTTGATGTTGCCACAGACCCTGGGAAGTGGATATAGATCTTTAAAAAGGCAGTGGTATAACATTCCAGTTCAGCTACATAATCCTCACCAGCAAATTGAAGCACTTAATTCTGTTAAGCTATATAACACTACTTTTCCTAAACCCAGTCGTCAGACCCATGTTCACTTTGCTGTAGTTAAAAAAAATTACAACCACATTTGTGAATGTCACATTTATTGAACTACATAATTTTTAATATCACTTGTGTGGGTTTTATAGTTTGTTTTATTGTTTTAGAAGTCATTTGGGGCTCTAAAAAAACTAGATTTTTCCAACATTGTCCTTATGATTTTTTTTCACACAGTCAAAACTAATAAAACAAAACTGTTGTAGCTATTTAATTCAAAATCTCTTGGAGTTTCAATATTTTTTCTCTGCTGGATACTAAAACCAATAAAGCTACATGAGATTTTAATTATATACCAAATTAAATAAGACTCTCCCCCAAAATTTGGCACCATTTATTTTCATCTTTGTTCAAAAGGCCAGATTTTGTAAGAAGAAAAGGTAGTTCTCACCTCTAATTTATCAGGTAAGAACTTATGTAAACTTTTTGCAACTTATTTCCAATAATTAACTATATGTAGAGGTAAAATTCCAAATTAGTTGGGCTTAAAAGCACAGATGGATTTTGTTACAGTAATTTAGTTCTAGTTCTACTTACAGGACTTCTTACTTTGTTGGAATAACAATAATTTTTGGTTTTTCTTTTTATTTCGCCATACTGGGGCTTGAACCCACAGCCTTCACACTGAACTACACTCCTAGGCCTTTGTTATTTTTTATTTAGAGACAGGGTCTGGCTAAATTGCCCAGGCAGAACATGGACTTGCAGTCCTGCCTCTGCCTTCCAAAGATCTAGGACTATAGACTTGAGCTACCACACCAAGTGGAATGAAAATAATTTATTAAATCTCATATCAAGTTGTTTTATTTATTTGACATAATCTAATTAGTACTTTAATGTTTTACTAACTTAACAAAATGCCAGTATCAAATAGAAATGTCTCACATCCATGTCATGAATACGTGTGTGGTAAGCAATAATTACTTTGTCATCTCTTCACCCATGCTCTTTCCTCATTTTGCTGGAATTTATTTGTTTTATTTGCTTTGTTTTGGTTTGGTATGGTGGTGCCGTGACTCAAACTCACATCCATGCATGCTAGGCAAGTGCTCTACCACTGAGCCACACCTCCAGCCCCCTTGTCACATTTTACATGCCAGTGTGTGCCACAAAGCACCGTAATGTGGGTGAATTTTACTGACTGTGGAACCTGAGGTAGGATTTATAATATTTATTCAATATAAAAATTGATAAAGAACTTAATAATAAGAGCACAAGAGCTGAACAGGCATTTCTCCAAAGAGGATATTCAAATGTCCAATAAACACATGAAAATATGTTCTAAACTGGGAGTGGTGGTGCACGCCCACAATCTCAGCATTAGGAAGGCTGGGGCAGGAGAACTGACATGAGTTTGAGGGAGGCCAGGCTAGGCCACATAGCAAGTTCAAGGCTAGCCTGGACTACAGAGCAAGACCCTGTCTCAGAAAAAAAAAAAAAAGATGTTCTACATCATTAATCATCAGGGAAATGCAAATTAAAACCACAATGATGTACCACTTCTTACACACTAGGATAGCTACAATAAATTTTTTAAAAAGTATTAATGAGGATGTGGTGATTTAGGACCCTCATACTTTGCTGGTGGCAATGTAAAATGAAGCAACTACTTTGAAAAACAGACTGGCAGTTCCTTAAAAGGCTAAACACAGAGTCCTGTTCCAAGGGAATACTGTAATTCCACTCCTAGGTATGTACTCAAGAAATGAAAACATGTTCGCACCAAAACTTGTTCACAAATGTTTGTAGCAGAATTATTCATGGAAATATACTAGCCAAAAACGTGAACAACCCAGGGCCTCAAGTGATGAGTGGGTAAATAAAATGTGGTCTATCCGCACATGGAATATTAGTTGTTAATGAAAGGGAATGAAGTACTGATCCACACTATAACATAAATGAACTTTAGAACTATTTTTTTCAAAAAGAAGCAAGGCACAAAATACCATATATTGTGTAACTCAATCTATATCAAATGTCCAGAGTAGTCAAATCTATAAAGACAGAAAGATTTGTCTAAGGCGAGAAAAGTTGGAAGTACATGAAGGATAACTGCTGATGGTTTCAGGGTTTCTTTTGGGGATGAAAATATTCTAAAAGTTATTGTGATGGTTACACAATGTTGTGACTGTCTTAGAGAAAAATACTTTAAATTGTATGGTCTATGAATTATATCTCAGTAAGTGTCATATAATTATAAATAATATAAGGCTGTAATGTTATATGGTAGCCAGCAATCTGACCTACAATAACTTTAACAAGTTTTAAAATACCTAAAGTGAGATTTTAGCATATAATCTAGGTCTAAGGAGGGGCAGCAAAATTCCTAGGCAGCAACTTTTGAGAAAGTACCAGAAATGATGGACCAGGATTCTGGCAGTGTGGTCCATGGGACTTTCTAATCAACAGCCCAACCTGCTCCTCTGCATCCTGTGCCCCTTCATTATCACTGTGCCACCAGTAAAGTCCCCTTCTAATCCCCGCCCGGAAGGGAGAGGAAGAACGTTGCCAAGGAACCAAATATCAGAAGGAAAAAGACAGTCTGGATTCTAGTCCTGATTTTTAAATTTTCATGAAGTCATTTTAAATTTTATGGGCACAGAGTTCCCCTATCCTTAACTCTAAAGATCTTCTTCTAAGAAAAAGGAAAAGACAACAAAGTCATGGTGCCAGGCCAACACAGTGGGCACAAGATCTGACTGTTTTTCAGGTGCGTGCATGCGTGCGTGCGTGTGTGTGCGTGTGTGTGTGTCAGAGAGAAGAGAGAGTTCTGAGAATGGTGGCTGGCAGAACATTGTGGAGATCCAAAATGGGGGGATTTACCGGCACTAAGAATGATCACCCCTAGAAAAATGGAGGCTTCTGGGTAAAGACACTGCCAGTTAACCTATAGGAGCTCACCCTCCTTTTCCACAAAGACTTCATCTAAGTTCAAGTATTATCTGGCTCCCCCCACCTGTGAAATGGGCCTGAAATACTGACTTATTGAAGACTTGTTCATCAAAGAAATTGGGACTATTAAAGGTGGAAAATATTACTCGCACCAAGGTTTGACTCAGAAAGGAAATCTTTAGCTGAAAATACAGGTGTCAGCTCAGCACTGTGGCAAATGGCTGTAATCCCAACATTAGGGAGGCAGAGGCAGGAAGATCACTGCAAGTTTGAGGCCAGTTTAGGTAACACAGTGAGTTCAAGGCTAGCCCCAGCCTGAACTACATAGCAAGACCCTGTTAAAAAAAAAAAAAAAAAAAAAAAGAAAGAAAGAAAGAAAGAAAGAAAGAAAAAGAAAAAGAAAAAAAAGATAGAAATTACAGGTCTGACAAGAAACATTGGTTGCTTAGAAGAAGGAAAAT